AGTTTTCAAATTTAGCAATTGTTAGGCCTTACTTAAGTAATCTGCACTTAAATGGCCAATATCGGCTATTTAAATATGAGATATGCAACCCAGTTTTTATACCAGACAACCGGGATTGATTGGCAGGTTGTTTAATCAATCCCACAAAATCCCACCAAAAAACAATCAGCTGTTCAGCAGAAAATGTAAACAAACAAGCAAATGCAACAACNTTTGGGAATATTCGTATATTATCAGTTTAAAATATTTAAAAAATCGAAGAGAAAGAACAAAGTTACTGAAAATCGCTAACTAAACAAAACTAAAAAGTTTATATAAATAGCTTCGTCAACGCATTTTAAAATTATCCGATACTATCGATAGTTTCAATGCAAACTATCGAAAACATTGAATGGGATGAATATCGATAGTTTTACAGCTCTACACTGAGGGAAAAAAATATTAAAATCAAATAGAAACGTAATTGATCTTACTATAAACGTCAACGAAAGTACTTTATAATGGTAAATATTCAATTCAATTCCGCGCATATTAAAATGACCGCGTTCGTTCTGAAAAAGCATCCGTGAAGTGAATAATCAAGACGAAAACTAAAAAAAAAAATATATTTAACTTGCATGTTGCCTGACCTGTATATCAACAAATTGTGGCATGCATCTTTACACCCAGGCATATAAATTTGCTTTCAAATGTTGAATATCCATCAACACCACAGCACGCGATTTGTACGGATAAACATGTACTATGTATGAATGTGTGTGTTGTCACCGCTCTCAGAGCGGCGCTCTGCATGCTTGGGGTGCGTATGTACACTCATATATATACTCAGATGTGAACAGTCAAATACGTACGTAATAAATTTTGTATGAAAATATTATTTTTAAATTCTTGTTAATCACATATAAAGTATTCATTTTTACTATGCATTATTTCCCTCAGTGTGGCCTGAAAGAATGTGTAATAGTTTTCAAATTTAGCAATTGTTAGGCCTTACTTAAGTAATCTGCACTTAAATGGCCAATATCGGCTATTTAAATATGAGATATGCAACCCAGTTTTTATACCAGACAACCGGGATTGATTGGCAGGTTGTTTAATCAATCCCACAAAATCCCACCAAAAAACAATCAGCTGTTCAGCAGAAAATGTAAACAAACAAGCAAATGCAACAACAATTTCATGGAACAAGCAGCAGTGCTGCCAATTGTTTGGCATATTTAAATAATGTTGATCTGAAACCCAACGAAAGCTAAATGGCATTTAAACAACAAACCACAATTAAACTTAAAACCCATTTAAATATTAATTTGAAATTGGACCTAAGACTATAAAATCCTTACTTTTGACGACAAAACTCAGCCTTAGAGAGCTTTTACTTACTTACTTGCTTACTTTTTATTTCTATAACTAATTTACCAAGCTCAGGAAGAAACACAGTAATTCCAAGCATTTTTCATTTTATTAAGACCCGTTAAATAAGTTGCTTAATTTTAACGGGATTTGTTAAACTTTTTGAAAGATTTTATTGAACTTTATTTTCGGGCGCGGCAACACTGATTACAAGGGCTTATTTAGCTTGAAATTGATTGGGCCTTATCAAGGTGGCTTCAGATCTACAAACCCCAGCATAGACAATGTAGCATACGCCAAATATAGAAGAAGGCTATGTTGAATATGGTCGACGACGTTTAAAAGACCGCATAATTTCTGGCGTATCGGGAAATACAAGGGTTACCACAGTTCTGCTTTCTCGTAATTTGATGGAGAAGCAAAGCGCATCATCAGACGCATCCGATGTCACTGTTGTTAGTATAAAGTTTGAAAAAGTCCTCGTTCATTTAGGAACCAGCATTAACACCAGTAATAATGTCAGCCTTGAAATCCAAAGGAGAATCACTCCTGCCAACAAGTGCTACTTTGGAATGAGTAGGAAATTCAGGAGTAAAGTGCTCTCTCGACGTACGAAAACCACACTCTCATTGCATGATGAGTGAGATTTCGCGGAAGACTTACGGGGCTTTACGCGTTGGCGACGGCGAGTACCGCAGACGATTGAACGATGCGCTGCTTGAGCTTTACAACGATATAAACATAGTGCAACGAATTAAAATACTACGGCTCCGCTGGCTTGGTGATGTCGTTCGTGTGGCCTCCGACGCTCCAGCTCTAAAAGTATTTAACTCGGAACTCGCTGGTGGTGGCAGAGGAAGAGGGAGGTCCCCACTGCGATGGAAAAACAAAGTGGAGAAGGACTTGGCTTTATTTGGCATTTCCAATTGGCGTCAGTTTGCGCAGAAGAGAAACGACTGGCGTGCTTTGTTGAACTCGGCCAAAATCGTCAGACAAATCAACTTTAACGGGTGGTAATAACGTCATTTTAAGCCTATGGGGCGACCAATAAAAGTTATATACTTATGTATTACAAACACGATGACCATTCCTACCGATTTTGGCGGGACAGTACCGATTTTGAGAAAATTGTCCCGCTGATTATTTTTTAAAAGTCGGGACTTAGTATAAGTGTCCCGATTTTTCATATTTGTACCCATTAAATCTTGATTTTCAGTGTTTTCTTTAATTATTTAATAAGACTCTCCCTGTATTCTGGCCCAAAAATAACTTTTTGTACAAACGTTTCAGCACTTTCGTTATCACAAAAGGCATAGATTATAAGGGAGCCATAAATATAGCCTGCATAGCATACAATATTGTGAAGATGGAAGTCAGGAGGATACATCCGACATTTGCAGCCCGATGTAATTCTCAAAAAAGAATTATTGCACCGCAATAAAAAACTAAATATAACTGAAAGACCTCTCAACTGGTGCAGCGTCAATCGAAAAGAATTTACAATTTTGTCAAGTTTCAAGTTTTTCAAGTTTGTCGCCTCGAGCGAGTAGTTATTTAGTGGCGCAGGTTTGATTTACGACCCTTTAAAAACTTTTTATTGAATACAATGTTCCAATTTTTAAAATCAAATACTCAAAAAGAACATTATTAAAAATTACTAACCTTTCCATTTTTATTTAACTAAATCACCTAATTTACTCACCTAAATTATTTCTTAACAAGTAAAAAAGTCTAAGTTCGGGCGGAGCCGAACATTAAATATCCGGCGCAAGTATTCAATATAGTTTTTTCACCTTTCCGAAGACTACCGCTACCTCTATTTCAAACACCTTCGATAGAACGTTCAGTTAGATATAATGAGATAAACTTATATAGATATATGTGGGCGGCACCACGCCCATTTTCCAAAATTCCATAATAATGTTACTTCTTTTCAAGGGATTGTTGTTAGTATTAATTTTGGGTAAAATTAGCTTCCTTAAATTTCTAAATATCAAAGTTTCAAGCATTTCTGAAATTTACCGTTATAGAAAAGTGGGCGTATTTTAGTCAGATTTCAAAACTTTCATCGTTTTGCCTTTATGTGGCCACCACAATAATCATACCGAGTTTGGTACACATTGATAGAGCGGTTACCGAGATACACATATGTGGTTATAAGTCGGCGGGGTCACGCCCATTTTCCACCCTTTTATTATAAGCCTATTTTTTGTTAAAGAATTATTGCAAAAATCAATTTTGAATAAATTAGCTTCAGTATTTACTGATTTATAGAAGTTTTCGTATTTCGCTAAATTACAGTTATATGGGATGTGGGCATGTTTATTATCCGATTTTCTAAATTTTAAGCCGTTTGGTATGTTTTATGTGCCAAGTTTGGGAGAAATTGGTGGAGCGGTTCCCAAGATATACACATGCAATCATAAGTGGGCGTGGCTACGCCCATTTTCCAAAAATTTATAATATTCTTATTTTTCGTCTAAAACTTATTGTAAATATCAATTTTGAGTGAATCATTTTCAGTTGTTACTAAAATATCGCAGTTTTTGTATTTCTGAAAATTACCGTTATATGGGAGTTGGGCTTGGTTATCGTCCGATTTTGCCCATTTTCAATACCATCTGTCCAACGCTCAAAAGAAGTACGCATACCAAATTATTCATCATTAAGATATCTCAATTTGTGCTCGAGTTATCGGGTGCACAGACGGACGGACGGACGGACAGGCAGTCACCGCTTAATCGATTTATCTTTTCATTCTGATAATTTGTGTATATATTTGTCTATAACTATCTCGATTCGTTTAGGATGTTACAAACAACCGTTATGTGAACAAATTTATAATACCCTTGTGCACAAGTGCGCTCGGGTATAAAAATACTTCACATCCGCATCCGCGGATGTTAGCGTTTAAACATCCGCATTCGCATCCGCAGATGTCTAAAATTCCACATTCACAACATCCCTGCTTTAAACGACGATATGTATATTAACAGGCACGCAGCAATCTAATACACGGGTGGAGCAGGAACGCAGCACAGCAGAAGCATACAAAATCTGCAAATAAATGGTTTTTTAGGTTTTCAACAAACAAAAACCTGATTTTAACTTACTTCAACGTCTCTAATACCATGTTCTGACCGACAACGAAAACACTTTGAAAACGAGTTTTGGGATTGTGGGCTGAAGGCTGTTCACACCGGCTGTTAGTGTTTTCGTTAGCATTTCTTACATCTTTTGATTACAGTTTTGCTACACAAAAACAAAACCAAAATACTTTTCCTTCATTTTCTTTTCATTTACAACCTTTTACTTTCATTCTTATTTTATTTTGAACAGCCAATTAACAATAAATCCGAAGTGGCATATTAAAGATGATAAAATATGACTTCCACTTCGTTAAATAATCGAAAAAAACTAGTGAAGACACCGATTGGAATGAGTGGAACGTGAGTTTTCAAACTGGTTTTCGTTTGACAAATTTTACATGGGCGAAAACACAAGTTTTAGGTCGAAAACCAGTTTTAGCAACGAAAACTTGTTTTCGATGTCGGTCAGAACATGGTATAAAGCACAACGCACACACTAATGCAAAGCCGCAACAGGAACGCAACATTATAAAACACGGGTGGAGCAATACACGGGCGGAGCAGGAACCATTGTGGAAGAATACAAGTGAGATATCTTAGGGTTGACAGATAGTTGACAGGGTATTCAATATGGCGATGACAGTGTGAGCAATATGGCATCCAATATGCCAAACCACGCCGAATGACCCGAAGTTGCAAAACTACGACCCGAACGAAACGCTTCAGGAAAATCCAGGGTTGCGAAGTGGTATTTTGATGGAAAATATAAAAGCCAGGATTTTGTGCAGCAGCGAATTTTAACAAAAAAGGGTTTTGTGTTCTCAAGATTAACAGATTATTACAATCTTAACGTATCTAATTAAATATTAAAAGGAGATAAAAATTAAATTAAATTAAAATTTTAAAATATATGTACATATCTGAATATTTTTAATAAAATATATATTTTTACGAAAGACAAAAAGTGAGTAAATAAAATGGGTTAACTTAAGGGGAAATATACTTATCAGATTGAATCAGATAGCGCTTTTACGTTATAAATAAAAATAATTCCTACTTAAATTTTAAATAATTTTGCTGACGTATTTCTAAGCTGACCCTGAGATCTGTGAAATAATATATATCGTCGTTTAAAGTACAAAACCGCTTAAACTGACATTGGCTGCCAAAAATTGGATTTGCTCACACAAGCTCTTGGCTCAATCTTTATCCATTCGTCCTGAAATATACTAGCCAGAAATTCGAATGCTTTATAAAAAAATGAAACCATTTTGAAATATGAGTGTTTTTGCACTCTAGAAAATAATTTCTACAACTTCACATACGCGGTTTTGCCTCTTGCTGATACGCGGTTTTGCATTTTGTCGATACGCGGTTTTGCACTTTAAGTAGGGTGGCCAGATATTATAGTGACATAATCAGTACAGTTGGGATCAAAAATCAGTACAAAGCCATAAAAATCAGCTCATTTTTAAATGTATTTTTTATTTTTAACAATATAACAAACAAATAACAGCCCATTAATTTAACAAAAAATAACGAATAGACTTTTAAATACATATAGTATTATCAATATAAAAATTCATTACTTTAAAACAAATCAAAGGTATTACGTGTGTATGTACAGTAAAGTGGTCCAAAAATGTTTGTGAAAAAATAAGATCGGATTTTTAATGCCGCCACCCCCAAGGATTGTTCCATACCAAAAACAAATATACCCCTATTTTTTTATTTTTAAATACATTGTACAGCCGTGCTCACGAAAATAGTAGTAAAATGTATTGACAGGTATTGAAAATTATTTCTTTCCTTACTTAATTTAATTTTTTTATAAAAATATAGTTAATTCTATAAGAAAAGACAATTGAGTTAAAGCCTCAAACCTTCTAGAAAATTTATAAAAATTGAGAAAATTAAAAAAAAAATTGTAGCCCATTCAGTTTCAGTAGAAGACGAGCTCGAGTCAACAACAACATAGAACAACATTCACATTCAAAGCTACATATCGTCTTTTAACCCTGGAAGTGCTTCGCTATTTTGACCCTGTCTGCGGGCTTGTTAGACGAAACGACTAGCACCAACATTGAATTGAAATAACAAACATAAAAGAGTTAAAAGGGAAAATACATTTTATGAATTTTAGTTCTTTATAGTTTTTCAAACACATAAACAAAATATTAAATACATATTATTTTCTCTGTTACATATAATAAACAAAATGGTAAATGACTTCAGAGAGAGGTACGAAGCGAAGCACGATTTTTGTTAGTCGAATCGACTAACGAAGCACGTCCAGGGTTAAAGTACAAAACCGCGTATCGTCATTCTGCAAAACCGCGTAACTGACATTGGCTGCCAAAAATTGGATTTGCTCACACAAGCTCTTGGCTCAATCCTTATCCTTCGTCCTGAAATATGCTAGCCACAAATGCGATTGCTTTATAAATAAAGAGAACAATTTTGAAATAAGTATGAGTGTTTTTACGCTCTAGAAAATAATTTATGCAACCTCACATACGCGGTTTTGCATTATCTTGATACGCGGTTTTGCATTTTGTTGATACGCGGGTTTGTATTTTAAACGACGATATATCTTATCCAAGAGTCGGTAGTTTGCACCTTTTCCAAATTTTTAGAACTTACATTGCACCGTAGCAGTAGTCGACTTAAGTTTGACATACTGACAGCCGATTTCTTAGTGGATGTTTAATTATAATCAAAACATTATCTCTTATTGTCATCTTCTCAGTGTACTTAATATATGATTAACTCACCACCACATTTCATAAGATTTATTAATGGCGAAACCAGCTTTTCCTGTAAATCCTGTAAAACCTGCAAATCGTGAAATTGGGTTGGGTTGAATCCAAACAGTTTGTTATTTTACGAAATCCTAGGAAACGAAGCAATTGCAAGCTGACACCTTTTTAATAATGGTTTCAATCTGCTCACACGTATGAGTTGTCAAAAACCATTGTTTTGAACATGTAAACCTCAACCAAATGTCAATTACACCAATTTACAAAAGTATTTATTAAATGTAAAAATCAGTACAAAATGAGTACAAACTCAAAAAATCAGTAGATTTTGCGTACTGATTTCGGGCTCTCAAAAATCAGTACAATAGAAAAAAATCAGCACATGTACTGATTAAATCAGCGCATCTGGCCACCCTAACTTTAAGCGACGATATGTATGTGCATATAGCCGTCATCGATTCGCCAACAGTTAGCGAGTGGCGAAACGAACGAATACAATGAGGTACAACCAAACTCGCTATCGTCTTTCCGTGCTAACTAACTTTGTTGTTGCTTTCACATGCAAAATTTTTCGTTAAGCGACCGGAACTCAAACATAGCAAGCAGCGAAGTGGCGAATCGATGACGGCTTATATTGTGTTTATTATGCTCCAATTCGCTAAAGAATCCTTGCAGCAATCAGCAGCATTGGAAATTTTCGGAAAGTAGAAATAAACTAAATTCAATTTATTCAATTATTTATAAAAGAAACTGGCCTGGCTTTGAATGTACCGTTTTTCAATTTACTCCACCGCACGGCCGAAAAGCCCTTTTGATGCAGCAAACGAATATATAAACTAATTGCTTTTTCTTAAAATTTCAGACCGTTTTCTTAAATTTGTTTCAACAAATCGAGTAAAAGGTCTGAAATTCTAAGGGGCCTATTTCATAAAAGTGACTGGTGCGACAATTGTCGATTTTTCTATAAAATTTCACTGCCAGAATTGTCGGCGATATTTTTTCTGTTTCATATACGCTTGTAGGCAACTGTGAACAATTTTGGAAAACGACATTGATATTATGGAATATTGTCGACAATTGTCCAGACCATTGTCACTCTGACAAAATTGTCGCGACAATAGCGACAAAACCAAATAGCTCCGTCGGAAAGCTTTCGCAGGAAGGTTTTGTAAATTTATTTATATTTATATTTGAATATTTCTTAAAACTAAAATAATGCAAATGCAATTTTTACATATGAGTTACATATAAATTTCATATGACTGGCGACAATTTTGTCAACGACAATTTTAAACCCCGACAATGACAATTTGTCACTTTTTCAATGGAATTTCTCATGGAATTTATGAGGTGTTGACAATTATTTTTATGAAACAAGACACCCACCAAACTGTCGAAATATCACCGACAACATGGAAAATGCCTGTCGTTACAAAATTATCACTGTCGCTTTATGAAATAGCCCCTGGTGAAGTAATTAGAGTGAGAAGAAAGATTTTGAAACTGCCTTAATTGAAAAATTGCATTTAATATTTGACTATAAGGAATGTCAGAAAATAAAGCGAGAAAGCTGTTTTATTCATGATACAAAAAAGAAGGTAGCAAGGCGAATTAATATAAGGTGATAGCAGTAGTACAAAAACAAAAATTTACATATATTTTGTTTTTGCTTTGGCGGCATAAATTTTCAAAATCTGTAAGAGTGTATGTAGAAATTCAAACAAAATTTTTTAATTTGACATCAGACGCCGTGCGGCGAAACACATACACAAAATCAGCTCATCTAGTAACACCACCTTATATAAATTCGCCTTGGAAGGTAGTTTCAATAACCAACTTTTTGATTAAAAAGCAGAGTTTTGACAATTGCTCAATTGTTAAAAATTCGAAGCGGCGTTACACAATTTAAGTTTTTTGGTAGAGGGGACTTTATATCATAAATTTGGTATTATGTATAAAATAGTTTTAATAACATTAACTGCCCGATTCTGTGCACTTGATAAATACAATTTTTTTATACTCTGTAAATTTTTAATTATTTATCAAAAATTTGAATTCTAGCACAGAAATCTAAAGCTCTTTTCATGATACAAAAAAGAAGGTATTTCCATAGTCACTTTTTCGTCGCCATATTAACAACCTGACAATTAAGCAGATTGTGACATTTCGTGCTACCATTTCTAATATCTAAAATCCTTCAAATTTTTTTATTAATTTTTTGTTTATTTAAAGCAATTTGTTCTTTTAATCGAAATTTGAACAAGCAAACGGTCTTTTGTTGGGTATGGTTCGGTTATTTGTACAATGATTTTGGGCTATTGTGTCCACACGCGTAACCCAAATACAAAAATGTTAACATACGCCCGCGATCCAAGGATTAAAATTTGATTTAAAATAAAGACTTCAAATTTTCGAACACTAAATTGTTAATAAATTCGGTGTGAAATATGAACTTTTTTGTAAAGAAAAATACCGTGTAGCCGGAGTTGGGCAGATTAGGGTTATTTTTTCCAAGCGCGGCCGGAGGCCTCCAACGTGGAAAGGTATTCGCGCGTAAATCCTTTGGTTGGTTGGTTGTTTGATTGGTTAGAAAACCGTAAAAGTCCTGGCTAGATACCTTGTAAAAATAATCAGATGACAAAAAGACGCAAAAAAGTTTAAAATAATTACATATACATATGTATATGTTCACTAAAATTTAATTAATCTAAATGGGAAGTGGTCATCGGATTTAGTTAAAATATAAACATTTCTAAGATAAGATTTTAATTACTTTTAAACAGTAACCGCCCAATTCTGTGTTTTCTTGATAAATTATTTGTAAAGAAATTGTATCAAGATTTCTATCAAGTAAAAGCTCTCATCGCATTCTGTGTCAATATTTATAA